AGTGACTCATAATTACTCTTAAGTGCAGCAATGCTTGAGGGGTTGTCCTCTGGAAAGCATCTAGGATCAAACCTTGGCAAGCCATCCATAAGCGTTTCCAAATGATGCTGACTGTGGGGACATAATGAACTCATCATATGTGATCTCACTTTGTGAAATGATGGAAGACGTGCAGCCTCCATTGCTATTGGTAATACATTAAGACAGTATGCCAGTTTTCTTTGAAAGGTCAATTAAATACTGAAGTAGGGTTCACAGAGTCAGTAAATCAGCTGGTTAGCTGCACATGGCCCGGAAACAAAACAGAACTCGAGGCTAAAATAAGTACAACCTCTCTTCAACTGTCCAAAGATGGGGGAAGACAGGCTGATACAGCAACACATCAATAGTTCTCTCTAATGGAGATTGATGTCCTGTCAGGAGCAACAAGGGAAGACCGGGCTTTTGTCTGAAACTCAATACAACATGGATGTAAACAGAGGTGGAGAGGAAAGCATGGTTGTCCTTCATCCATCAACGTGGGCGGAAAGGGAACAAAAGACTGCTTGATCTGATATACATGTCGTGAAAATTGATTGGATAAAATCTCTTCTTGCATATGGCCGAAACATTAAGTCTTCCTCACTTTTGTATAAGGAATCTCTTGTTCTGTGCAGAAGCAGAAGATAATTCTCACAAGACAAACTTGGCAATCAGCATGTGCAAAACTGTTTTCAGCTCGAGAGGCTGGACGGAGACGACCACTCGCAGCTGCAACATCAACACTGTTACACAATGTTACAGGATTTGTGTGGGAGAAGGCCACTTACATCAAGAAATGGGATCCAAGTTGCAATCTTACAACTTTAACAATCAAGGGTCTGTGCTTTAAAATACATCCAGTAAATATTTGAGTGCCACAATAATGGCTTTTTTAAGTTATTCAACCCAATATGCCATGTATAAAATGTCAAAGAAATGGGGAAACAGCATTTGTCATAATCAAATGTTATGTGAATTGTTTGTATTTCCTGTCGATCAAATGATCCATTAATTAACTTTTAATAACATGGCACTAAAATAGTCATGTTCATACATGTATAGTTTAACAAAAAAATCAAATCTAAACACGAGATCTACGGTCACTGAACAAAGCTTCTATTCAGTGTGAGCAAATATGAAAGACTCAGACTGACAAACACCACTGCCAGAGTTTATTCAAATATTTAAACAACTCCAGCAGTATGCATTGAAGTGAACTGCAGAGGAGTGGACATATTATTAAACCCTGATAGGCAGAATAATGGATATTAAGGCATTTTCCATCTGAAGTTACTTCTGCATGACACTAATACGTAATATCACCCACCACTAACAGGATCGACACAAGTTTCCTACTGGAAAAGATGTCCAGCTTAGTGGTTGTGGCCTAATTTGTGTACTTACTATTTCCACCACTCCACTTTCGTCAAAAACATGGCTTGACTTAGCAAAGAAACATAGCTAACCAGTCAAATATCATACACTGTTGTCATTGAATGAAATCAGGGATTTAATGAAATTCAGAACCACTGTAAGTAATAGTAGTGAGTTTATCTTGGATTCAATGGTCTTTGTTTGGTTATGACACTAGTCTCAGTCTCTGTGTTTCACTTGGCACTGAGCAAAACACTACACTGTTTTCAGAATTTACTTTGTGCCACTTTTCAAAGGGATAAAGAGTTATGTGCAAGTGGGACGGTAATGAATAATTCAAAAAGAGCACTTATCAGGGTTAAATTATGCGCATTTCAAGAAATAAACAGTTTGGTAGTACATGGCTATACGCGCATGAAGAACAAAGTCATGGATTGTAAAAAAGCCAACAAATTACCATATGAATGTGTAGACATTCTTTCATGTGTGGCTACGACAGTCGCTACACTGCTGCAAGTTGGTCTAACATTTGAGATGTTAGAGATGGAGAGTTAAAAAGTGTGGACAAAAGCCAGAGGGGGAGAGAAACTAGTTTCAACTCGACCACACAAAGAGAGAGACAGAGGGTGAGGTCTCTATGGAGGTATGTCATACAGGTGGGCTCAGGTTTCCACCCCGAGGACACATCTCCATACACTGAAGCCCTGATGCAGGATGCTTCACACCATGGCCGTTTCCTTCACATGGCTTTATAACAGAAAGGTTAACCTGTGCCTCGGATTACTATAAGGTTGAATCAGCAAGGTATCAATATAACATCAAACTTAAACGTAAAATTATTCATCCACCCAAAATCTACAGCATCGTAGAGTATAAAACACAGACTATGAACGTTTCCAGACATATTTTGGCAAAACAAAACAATGGAGGAATGGGAATTGGCATGCATTCAATATTGATTTTTAGATCTTATAAGGTTTTAAAATGATCACCAGGCCAATCAGTTATTCTTCCTGGGTTCCATGCTGGTTAATGCAGGTACTGGTATCACCATAATAGTCCAGATTAAGTAATAAAAAGATTTTCATGCCATAAAAATCAAACCACATCATATGTATTGGAAACAAGTGATCTCTCACTTGTCTTGTGTTTTTGCCTGCTGTTTAATTGGATGTTATTTAATCTTAATCTAAGACGTTTTTTTTCATTTATTTTCACTCCTGCAGCTCTCACAAGTGGCAGATGTGTGTGACACTCCTCAAACTGTTATGTGTTTATTAGTTGAATGCAGAAGTAGCATCTGCAAAATATGTACATTCATCTGGTGATGTTATAAATTATGACATTTAAGTTGTGGTTTGGATGCCTAATTCTGGTAGAGCCAAGGAGCTTTGTATAGGGAAAACAGTTTCAGAAGCAAAACATTTAGCAATATGACTGGAGTTGTTGTTACACTTTTCCACTGTGAAAACTCAACTAAAAGAATCATTACTGACATGAAATAAAGTCACTGCTCTCTGTGAAGAAATCGACTACAGTCTCCCGACAGCCAAGGACACAGGTGGGTTGTTTGACACTCAAAAGATGGATTATGATGATGCCACAACAACTGTTTTAGAACAGACCACTGCTCTGTTACAGGTAAAATGTTACATTGTGTCTAGTGTCCAAACCCCTTTGAAAGATACATTGACCATTTCCTGTTTATGGAGCAGGGTCCTATTAGACTCACCATAAATACAAACTGCTGACTCAGTGGTGAGGGTTTTTCTGTCGACACATTGTATTTCTCTTGGCAGAAACAAAATGGACAAGGACCGCGAGTCTGCCCAAAATATTGTCTCAACACATCTCTAAATATCTAATAGTCAGCTTTGCACATGAGTGATATGTTTTGCTACAGCACCCACATCTGCTCAGTCACCTGTGCACCTACCTGTAAGGACGTTTATCACAACCATATAGAAATATTTCAGGGAGACACCATTTAATCAGCAGACAGTGGCAGTGACGCTGCAACAAACTTGACACCAGAGGGTCATCATAGTAGTGAAGCAGCTGCACAAATGAGCTATCGCATGTCAGTCACCTGCACATGATCTGTTCTGCAAAGTGTAAATACAACAGCAACAGCTTGGATCATCTGTACCACAGCGAAGATAGGTGCAACGGATTACATGACTGTGCTTCATGCAACAATTTACCGCACTGTCTGAGGCCAAACGCAGCTTCTCTGCTCCCAAACAGTATGCTACCAATGACCAAAACACCTCCAAGGTATTTCAGCGGACAAGTCCTTATGACTGTATTTCTCCATGTCTTGTTGAACCAACATGATATAGCTTCAGGAAAGCATTTAGTCAATTAGCTGCAGGATGAGCAATCATGTAAGCTACAGGGATGGAAATTGAAATGTCCGAAGATGCACGTTAACCCTGCTGTATGTCCGCCGTCATTGAGGCTACATAGCGTTTCTTACCCCTAAATCCCTGTTGTCTGAATGAATGATCCGCAACACTTTGTGGGTAGGAAAACGCATCTTGTCGGCCTTTCCCGCCGGTCCGCACCGGTGCGGCAGCGTCTGTCAGCCCCGATAAACTTGTATGATTGAGTGACGGTCATTCGTGAAGCCAGCACTAGGACCACGCGGAAACATGAACGGACATCGAGGATATTATCTTTATCATGATTAACACAGCATGATGCTTCCCGGTCTCCCTTTACATACCTGCTGTCACCGCCACCGTCGGCGTCTGGCTGCTTCCGTCCTGACATTGAAATGTTCATGTTTCACACGCCAGTATTGTCCATCCCCATGTCTCTGTATCCTGCCGCCTCTCCAAGGTCTGCCTGCCTGCCTGTCTGTCCACGGACCATGCGTGTGTTTCCACACCGCTGAGAGGGGCGGGGCCCGCGGTCCTTGGAGACGGCGCGCAAGTGGATCGTGAGAATGCCACTTATTTTTTCTAGGAGCCAATCAGCTGCGGTTCACCTCGAATCGGCATTCATTGACCGTGTGAAATGTAAACTAGTAGCTGAAGCAGTGGCGTAACTATCGACGGTGCAGCCGGTGCAACGCACCGGGGCCCAGAGCCGGGCAGGGGTCCATGCAAAAAAAAAAAAAAAAAGGAATATCTTTTTTCTTTCAAAAACATGTTGGTGAACCAATCGCAGTGTTTCCCATGCATTGATTCATTTGTGGCGGTCTAATGGATAGTGAGGTGGGCTAATGATCGGAAGGTTGCGAGTTCAAATCCCACCTGGAACACCACTACTAGTGTGCCCTTGAGTAAGGCACTTAGCCCTCAGTTACTCCAGGGAGAATGTCCCTGTAATTGGTCATTGTAAATCGCTTTGGAATAAGGTGTCTGCTAAATGCCTAAATTGTAAATTATATTTTTGGGAGAATAAACCCCACAGATCCTCAACTCCGGTGTGTCTCACTCAGTAACAATGCAAAACAGAGCAACAAGAACATTGTCTACAGTAGCCATGAACTCGCAAGTATCTCAAATCTTATGCAGGTCTATGTATCAACACAGATCAGTATTCTGAGAAAAATATTAAACATGTAAGTTTGAATGACACAAAAAAGCACCCGATCAAATGGTAGTACCAGTTTTTTTTATATTCACTGCACATGATCCTACAAGATGTACAACAGAGGTCGGCCTTGGTAACAGGGTTAACTCTACCCTCTACTGGCAGGACAGCAAATCTTCTTCTGCTTCAAATGAAATCCAACTTCTCTGGTAAAGAATTAAACATCAGTGTGTTACAAAGGCATGTTTTTAGTAAAAACAAAATACCAAAAAGGTATGAATCATTGATTTGTACAGTCTCCTTCCATACACAAAACTCAGGTATCAGAATTAGCTCAAAAATACAGACTTTGCCTTTTACCTCCAACTACTTAGATTAGACTTGAGCATTAACTACACAACTTAAAATATACAAAAAGATATCAAACAGCTAGAAGCACATACAGTATTTACAACAAAGAGTTTCTTCTCTGGTGAACTTGAGTGAGCATGGACCACATTCAGAACACTGTGTCCTGAATGTGTTAATTTGACACTTAGAAAAGGTTCTTCTGGTGTAAAATATAGGTTCATGCACCATCAAATCTTCACATACGTCCTTGTTGAACCAGGTGTCCTGATACTTAACAGTATCTCACAGTGATTCAGCATCCTCTTTCCTTAAGTTCTTCATTCAGACGACCTCTACCACCTCCCTCTGATGAAGGGGGGGCACCCAAACCCTGCCCTCCCGTTTCGGAAATGCCTCCCCTCCGTGTCATTCATGCCCTCTGGTCCCATAGGCGGAGGTCGATGGAAAGGAGGGCCACGAGGAGGAAACGGCATATGCATTCTGAACCTATTCGGTGGAAACATGGGTCCTCCAGGCATCATATGTGGGGGCATGGGTGGCATGTTTGGGGGTGAGAGGAATGGAGGTAGATGATGATTCGGCATCCCAGGAGGAGGCTGCATAGGGGGCATACCCGGTCTGGGCCCCTGCATGACACCTGGGCCTGGTAAGGTCATCACTGGTGCAGTAGGGGACCCCAGCTTGATGTCTGCGCCCAGATCTGAGGGTTCGCCTTTGTCTCCTTTAGAATCCATGGTGGGCTCTTCTGGAGGTTTTCCATTTCCTGCTGCAAAGAGGGTAAGATAACGTTTAATTGATCCCCAGTGGGAAGCCACGTATTGTGGCATTACAAAGGAAAAGCACATTAGAGAGCAAACGTTTCAAGTAATAACATCAAGCCAGGAACAATGACAACACTGCAGCACAGATCTTTTCATATAATCATCAAGAGAAGTTGTTTTAAACAAACATGTCTGCACTCACATCTCCCCTTTAGAGGATGCTTGGCAAATACACACTTTTGTTCCTTATAAATGTCTTACCTGGTGCCAACTTTGTAGGATCAAACTCTGCGGGGATGAATGGAGCTCCGACTGGAGGCCCCGTAGGGGACAGCATGATGGGGCCAGGGAAAGCAGGTGGACTTGTTATGGGTGCTGCCTGTAGAACTGGTGGTACCTGGAAGACAAAGAAACACAAAGGAATCCTGGTAAGATTAAGGTAAAACAAACAAGAAAGTGCTCACGAAGCAGCGAACTGGAAGAAGAAACCGTATGAACATCTTCGGATTCCACCGCATCAAGTAGCTTCTTTGATTGCATCCTATGTGTATTTATTTTTCATGTTTCACGAACGAACACATTGTTTGATTATTGTTTTTGTGCAGTCTCTATAAAGTTTCCGGATACATTCTCAGTTGAGTCCTCAGGGGAGAATGCTATAACACATTATCAAACACTTTACCCTATATATATATATATATATATATATATATACACACAACACTGTGACATATCTGTGCATTTTGAAGAGGCTAAAGGAACTTCCTTCTATAATAAAGGAGATGCAATGTGTCACTTAAGGCATCAGAAGGTACTTGCAAATAAAACATGGTTACCCAGTCAGAATCAGAAGCATCTTTATGAAATGTGTTTGCCCAGGACACATTCAATTGTATATTGAGTTAAGTTCATGAAATAATGAATGACAGGACCGAGAGAATGCCATACATTTCATGTTGTATTGAAGCTAATTGCTGGAACAAAAAGTGGTCTCCACACACATGTATTGTTACTTACCCATTGCATGTTTAGATGCAGTATTTGACCCATACATTTATAAAGTCCACACACTACATATATAGTGTGCAAATTATGCAAGAAATACCCATAGGCTCTTTTTACAGCATTTGTGAAAACAAAAGGATTTAAGCACCATAGACAAACGGGGGTTGTGGTTGTATTTGTGTTTAAAACAACCCTAATACAGCATTAAATGCAATTGATTTACACGACACCCTGTGCTTTAACACAACAATAACACAGTTGGAAATAGAGGTTAACAAAGAACAGTGAGCATACATGGGAGCACAGTTGCCTTATGGAGGCTAATTGTAACAGTAGAGTGGTGAGTTTTAATCGGGGGAGCTGTTGGTGACTGCTGAGAGTTTGACACTTCAGGTGAATTGTTAAACTGAAAAGGCTTTCAGAGGTAAATCACCTCCCTAATAATGATGAATCATTCACTTATTTCCTGCAGTAGCACCCACATCTAAAATGTTGGTTAAAAAATCCGTGTCCCAACCAGCATGCCTTTAGGATTAAATTAGTTTTAGAGTTACAGCAAACACAATGGGTTTGCTCTAAGGTAAAGGTAGAAGGTGGAGACCATAACAAGGAAGTGTTTTAGTGCCTGAGAGGGTACAGAGTTCACATACTCTTGAACAAGGAAAGGATCATAAACATGCACACATACAATCATTTCAACCACACCAAACTGACTAATGTGTTGACATGATTTTAAATAGCCTGATGTAAAAAACAAAAAACCTAGGCTATACAATAAAATAAACATTGCAAAGCCATAGTAATTACTTACTTTTCTTAATAATACAACTCAACTTATATAATATATTTGTACTGATGCATTTTAAATTCAGAAAATGTGTTAGTTATCTACATATTGCAAAGGATGACTTGAATACATCAATAAATTGTATTGATTAAGCATTATTTTATCTGAAAATAAATAATTAGTTATTTTATATCTGATAACTGAGGGGTTAGTGAACCTAGACACGTTTAAGGATATAGAAGTATCATATACAGCAGACATATCCATCATATTTCCTATAAAGGACACAATAATATCAGTGTTTGGCATTTAGGTTGATACTCAAAGTGAGTGAAATCATAGCAAAATCTTTAGAAACAAACATTACAAATGTAAACTGATTCAAGTTATATGGTAAAAAAAACAAAACAGGTTACAGCAGCTAAAAATCATAAATAAAATAGAAATGTAGTCATGCCACATGTGCTGCACAATTTAAAGCTTGATTGCAATACAATTTAAACATGTATGTCCACCAAGACAATTCATTTCAATTGTAATTGCTCATTACATTTCAGATGGTGATCATACATCACGCATTCATCCTACAACCCTAAATCTATAATTAACTCAGATTAATTTTTCTCCAGCACATGACATTTAAATTCATAGCCTACCAGATGCTGCAAGGTGATCACCTTAAGTTCCTGCCCCGACATCCTCCCCTGGATGCTAAAGCTGGCTGTAGGTCCAAAGGCTACAGAGCAAACCTACCCATTATACTGATATCAAATGCATTATGATGTAATCCCTCAAAATGTGACAAACCTTCCAGTCCAAATCCTCACAACAACAAATACACTTAATCATTCATGTGTTCATCATCAGATTGTCTGCAAATTAAAATAATCCATTTTTAGTTTAAAAGGGCCAATTTATTTTTACAACTAACCTTAATCACATGTATGAGAGGATAAAAGCCATCACTGTACTGATGAGCCTTACATTTATCATGCATAGAATTATGAATGTATGTCCGTATTTGTAATGTTTGGGAGAAATTAATCTCTATTACGACTATTTATGATCAGTTAAATGCTATGAGAAAATACCATCTAGAGGCTAAAACAGCCCAAACATCTAAATGAAGCATTCTAAAATATGACTGATGTGAAATATGACTATTCAGAGCAAGGTGTGCCATGTACACAAATAAAAATAATGTAACCATTAACTAGAATAGATACATTCATCATTTTTAGTAATTATACATTTTTTAAATATAAATTAAAATCATGTGTGATAAAAAAAAAAACAGACTACTAGGACTGGAAAAGAAAGGCAAAAAAAAAACCTAAACAACATACAACATAGATTAAACACATTTTCACAAGGATTGGGAAATGTTCTACATCTTGTGGTGATTCAATAACTTATCCCACACCACAAAATGAAGAGTAAAAATGTGCATAAACATACATTATGCTTTCTTTGTATTTTAAGAGAGAACATTCATTTCAATAATCTTTTTTCCTAATAACATTATTTAGTGGCCATCAGAAGAACTGCCACTTGGTGCAACAATTGTCAAGGATTATCTCTCAATTCATCAGACGCCAAAATCAGGTCAATAATCAACTATTTGGTAGCTAAACCTTTGGCAATTAATGTGTAAAAAAAAGAATTAGGGATTTTTTTAGAATGCAACAATAAGAATTTGCAGCAGAAACACTGATGGTTATTGAAAACAAAGACTCGAGTTGACTAGTTATTCGACTGTTAACCTTAATCCTGATTTGTCAGTCTTTCCTGAACGGGCTAACTAGTCTTGCTGAAGATGTACATGCATTCCAAAATGGTCATTTTGGTATTGCCATTAGGGGGCACCATAGTTGAACATTTTCAACGTAGTGTCTTGAAACGGCCAATATACGACATTCAGAGAATAGCTTTAATTCAGAATCTGGGAGTGGATTGCCTAATCACATCTTTTAACATGAAGATGTTTTAGCAGGCAGTTAGCAGCTAACGGTGGTAACAGTGTTGACAAGGCTAATAGTGTTAACGTAAATATTCTGCAACGGCTCAGTACTGCCACCTCTGGTCACAACAGTGTATTCAGCGGTAACCACCATGTTAGCGCAGAGCGGTGTTGGTTAGCTAGCCTGTAGGACACGTGCTAATATGCAAACGCGGCTGGCTCAGCTACCAAAATAGAAACTAAAGAAGCAAACACACAAATTATTTTGTTCTGTGCTCAGGAAGACAAAAAGATGTCTATTAATGTTCTGCATTTTGTTTAAAGCCTTTAAGTTTGGGATTTGCATTAGTGAACCTCATTTGAAGGGAGTAAGCACTGTTGAAAAGCATGTTGTTTTCCTAAGTTGCATACAGCAGCTTTAAAAGCACAATTCCTACTTGTATAAAAGTAATGGCTATTGTCGACTATATATCTCTATTATATAAAGATATATATACATATACACATACACACACACACTTCCTGCAGCAATAAAATTAGCCACACAAAGAACATGACAGAATATAATAGTAATTTCTAAATGTAAGCAAAATAACCTATTTGATGCTGTTTAAATATGGTATTGCAAACATATAATTAAAATAAAGAGAAAGAAGTTCATTAGTCACACAGCCTTAATGAAGTCAGTAGTCTGGGGATAGCAACAGATGGGTCTGCTCTTACCCTGGTGTTTCAGTCCATCAGCAGAAATACAGGAGATCTGCTGCTCCATTTTTCCTGCACGTGATTTCCAATTTGGAAACCCCACGAGCCAGGCAGCTGGGCCTTGGATCTCTGATCAAGACTTTCATCTCTGACGGGTATCAACTCAGTGTTTTCACTCCTGTCAGTATAATTCCTTTGTTCTTTGTTTACACCTGCTACTTATAAGATATGTGAATACATGGTAATGAGGCAGCTCTACAATAAACTGGCCTTTAGAACTTAATTTCTTACATTATTTATGAGTAAACAAATGGGATGAAAAAAAATTCAAGTCCATTTTATTATGAATGAACCTTACTTTCCACAGTGTCATCTCAGTGTTGGAATCCCAACATCCAAAGAGAATTTCTTTAACACTCACCTTTGTGAGGCCTCATGTGAGACGGGTGTAATTGAAGAGTTCCTCTCTTTTTCTTGAAATATCAATTCACTTGAAAGCGACTGAAAGGAGAAAACTGTTCAGAGTTTATATAATAATCCATGTTACAGACTGAGATACATTAACCAGAGGCTTAGTCAGATCTGTGATGTCTAAATGCAAGTATCTAGCTTAACAAAGACATGCAGCAGCTAGCAGATTTACATGACATCCTAATCTCCTAAATGTTCTATTTTAATCAGAGACTAGAGGACGTTAAAAATGTTGAATTTAAAAGCCCTTTTTAATTAGTAACAATTCTGCAGCTATTTGGTAAAAATACATGTTATTTTGATGTTTTTTATATAATAATCTCCTTTCAACTGGGCCTTCTCAGTCCCTCAAAGACTGACAAAAAGATTATATAAATATTTTTGTATTTATATTTTGAAGTTTTTGCAAAAGTATTAAGAAAATGTGAAAAGCTATACTGACAAATGAAAGTGCAATCTATTCATTTGA